AGTAAAACTGTAGTTTCTTTCCAATCAGTTTGAAATTTGAGCATTTTCAGTTTTTATGTATAAGAACACTAAAGAATTTAAGAAAATCTTGAGAAATTATGATAAATGATTTTTTTTTGTGTGTGAAAAATAAGAAGTTCACGAAGATACAGGTTAAAAAAATTTTCATTCACAAAGGTAATTCTTATTCTTTGTAAGGTTTTTATTTCTTTCAGGAATTTTGGAATTTTTTTAAAATGCTTAATCTGATGTAGTGTATACTTGCTGCACAATTTTGTTTTCCTATTTAAGATAAGAATTCTGGACACAGTCATCTACAGAGATCATCAAATGTTAGAAACCCATTCCTCAGACCAAGACTTGAATTTCGATGCCGAGTGCTTAGACACAGCTCCATTAGGGGTCCACTACAACCACCACCTCCATTATACCAGTTCCAAGCACCTCGTCCAGAATTTGGTTGTGCTCCTCGGTTTCCAACTTTTCCTGGACGGCCATTGTTACGTCCTTGTCCCGATGGCCCTAGACCGCTTCTTCATCTGGTCTCAAATACCTTTAATGAATATCCTATTCCACCTCCCCCTAGAGGACCTTACAAACATCTACCACCTGAGTCATGGAATAGACAATTCAATTTTCCACGGGGAATTCCTTCTGCTGCTCCTTATTGGGAAAGTACTAATTTTGCATCTTCCTGTACTTCTGCTCATAATGAAAGTTTACTACGTCATCCACCACCACAGCATCCTTTCCCAGAAAATAACTTTCATCTATCACCACCACCGTTATCACCATCTTTATACTGTAATAACCAATCTCCAAGACTTGCTTTACCTTATTTGAACAACAGTGCCCAACAGCAACCAAATCTTAATTTCAACAATAAATTGTTACAGTAGCCAACTCCTCTTTCAAGTATTGGCCATCATCCTTAACAACCACCTCCTTATTTCAGTATGAATCTATTACAGCCACTCTTTTACTTTAATGACAAATAAAGCCATTATGGCTGCACCAATAAATATTTTTATGAAAGTTTTACCACTTAAGGGTTCTGTTTGGAATTTAATTTCTACCAAGCTGGTTTATTGCTTTAATTCAAAAGTATTTCAGCATTCACTGCACTAATAAAAGTACTGGCAGTGTAAATAATTTTAGAAACCACTGAAGTAAACAATACTTAATTTAATACTCATGACAAACTCTTTGTAAAATGTCACAATGAATTTAAATATGCCAGTTATTTAAATCATCACGAATTTTTATAATCTTGCAATAATAGTAATATTTAATTTTATGTTTCAAAATTATATATTTTCATTATATAGTATTAAATTCATTAAAATATCCTAATTTGATATATGAAAATGAAATCAGTTTTACATCGAAGAAATATTTTTCCATAGTGCCTTTAAAAATGAGTCTTTATTTTATTCCACTAAATATGCTGTAAAAAGTGGTAGTGATTCTATATACTAACATGAATATTGTTTATATGACAACTAATAGAAATGTCAAATCATGCTCTAAGAACCACTGTGTAAATTAGTAAAGTTATATAGTATTAGTGTTGGTATTTTCATTGTTTCTCATATATTCATTGGACACAAATAAAATGTATCGGTGTAATGTTACTAGCTGTGAAATGTAAATTTTCTTTTTAAGAAAATATACAAGAGTTGTAATACTATCATTAACATTTCTTTGATAGGAGCCCAAATTTGTGGTTCACTTTGTATAATATATAGCAAAAAAAACGGATATTTGTAACAAAAAAATGCTTACAGCAACAGAGCATTTCCTATATTGAATATGGTGTTTTAAAATGGTGGTCAAGAAAACATTTTTCTGGAGTGTCAGGTTGCAGATAAGAGATGTAGAGCTTGATAACTAAATAATTATGAAACTTGAAAGTCACACCTTGTTTTGCTTCTATGAGAAATATTAGTGTCAGGCTGTTTTCTTCAAGCATTAATTGAATGTTTTTTTGTATGTTAATTAGTGATTGAATAAATAAACATCATGTTATTAGGCAAGATACAATCTTCTGGTATTTTATTTTTGTGCTGTTGCTTTATGATTTTACAGGAGTATCAGTGTAGTTTTTAAGGGCAGTTGAAGAGTATGTAAGTAGTTATTTTCAGCTAACATGGCAAATTATTATTCCAACACTTACGAACATATTTGAAACAAATTTTATTGATTCAACAAAATGACTCCTGAACTTTCAGATCTGATTTAACAGTTTTGTTTGTGAAACATTAAAGTACAGAATGACCAACTGCCATCCAGGTTTCTAAATTATAAACCAGTGTACAGAAAATTGTGCATTTGTGTGTCAAGCATCTCAAGTCTCTCTTCAAATGTTTGATTTTATCTTATATAATTTAACAAAAATGCTTTCTTATAATTTGGGTTAATATTTCAGTTTCACATTTCTGGTGCTTCAAATTTCTATCATGAAGGAAGAATATTTATTCTATATAGTATCACTTAGTAAATTGAATTAAGACATGAATTCATCATTCTATGAAGACACTTGGGTCTGTTAATATCATGTTGTTAGATATAAGATGGAGTAAGGAATTCAACAGTATACTAAACTTAATGACCTGCAAGTTTTTGTTGTTGTTTTTTTACCAAAAAGAGTTTAGAAAGAACCACTATTAAATATTAAAATATTTGAAATATTAGCATTTCATGTATCATAATAGAATATATTAAAATATTTTCTGTATCACATTCTGTGGTTAAATAAGAATTAAGAGACTGAAAAAGTAGCTGTTAAGATTGACTAATGAAATTAGTATAAAAAATTTGTTCGTAAAAGTAAATAATATTTTGGAAATTGCACCCTTGAAAAAAAAAACGTATCTGCTTATAAATATTACCAATACTTTAACAACTGTTTTTATAATACCAAATTATGTACATAACATTTTCTTTGCAGTTGACCTATTATTATGAGTGATATTTTGAAACGGGCTGAAAAGTTTGAAAAAATGGTTGAAACAATTACCCTTGAGAGTTGGAGTTCATTGTTGAAATGCACACTTTAGTATTTCGTACATTGGTAGTCATTTTTAGAACTTCTCAGGGCTATCAATTTTATTTGACACTAGACCTTTTTTTTTAAACCCAATTTAATACATATAGCTACGTGGATAGGATGTATACCCGTGCTGGATTAACCAAACACACCATATACTTTTTATATCACAACCTTTATGAACGATCAAATTCATATCAAAAATCGTCTAGCTATGTGAAAATCAACATGTTTAAACCGATAAAAACAACAAAAGTATTAAACAGCCAAACAAAACGAAATGCATCGTAATAGACCCTCGAATCTCCGGCTTAATAAATTCATTTATACTTAGTCAAAATGATAAAACTCAATCACGATATAAAAGTTAAACAATGTATATAATATTCTTTATTGTATAGAGATTGGTTATCGCCAAACTTAGTTAAAAATATAAAAATCAAAAACATTTTTGGTGAAGGATTAATATGAACAAAAAAAAACAGTTTGATTTTTTTTTTAGGATATTGTCCCGGACATTATGGATAATCCGGCTATGATTTATACATATATCTGATACAACGTTGAACTGAACGGTAACCAATGATCTTGATACATTTCTCCATCGTAAGCCATAACATAACCAGTTAACTTTAACCCTTACCATCTACAAAAATCCTTTACAATACCTATCATTGCAGTTAAAAATTACACCTCGCGATTAACTTTCATGCGTGTCAAAGCTATTTGCTCATATTTTACACTATGTGCCACTAAAAAGAATTACTGCAAGATAACAAGAAAAGATTGTCTCGGCACAACACGGGCACCACCACAAATAATTTCTTGCAGTATACATAAATATATATATATGTTTCTTAGGAATAAGGAAGTTGCTACATTTACTGAAATACGTTTCACTTTGAGAATTTTGTTTTCTTTGCAATTAGCTAATCTACTGCTCTAGAGATTGAAAAAGTACAAGAGACATTTACGAACGCACATACGTAAATACACAATTTGTTTGACTAGCTCAAACATACCGTGTTTGGATTTGAGAACACTTTCTCAGAAAATCCTTTTCGTCCCAACAGTTTTAAAAGTATGAAAAGCAATTTTTTGTAATAAAAGTAATTCATTTTTAACTTCTCAAGGTTGTAATGGCGTACGTTCCAAACTATGAACTGTTTCAATAATACCTTAAGGTAATCTTACGAAATAACTAAATTTGTGTAGGGGATTTTGAAAATATTTTATTTTGTCCACATTATATTCACAGGTATAGCCAGGGGGCGGATTAAGGCGGGAGCTATTGGAGTTGTAGCCCAAGGCTCGGGTTAAAAACAAGGCCCTTTTGAGGTTAAGTTGTTTGTCTGTTTTTAACCTTAGTTTTTAGTTGCGGTCATAATAGGTCCAGTAGAAAAATTTAGCCCCAGGCCCGTCTGACCTTCAAACTGCTCCTAAGTATAGCAGATATAAACTATACACACATTTCAAAATTACAAATAGCTGTATTTTGCTCGGGTCTTCCCATGGGTCAGCGGCAAGTTTACAGCCTTACAACGGGAAAAATTCGAGGTTCGTTTCACCGCAGTGGACAGAGCGTAAATAGTTCATTGTGTAGCATTTTGTTCAAACAAAAACATAAAACAAACATTATGTTCGTTTCAGATATTTATGTAACGGTGGGGCTTGTTTCGAACACCATATTAATGCTGCCTCAAGCCCTTAGCCGGGGGGTGGGGTGGGAGACCGACCACCACACACATATCGTCGCGTCGTACTAATTATTTACTTTACTTTCTATTATGTGTGAGTAGACACTATATTATATGT